TGCAAAAAAGATTTGCAATCGGATAAAAGACGTTTATGTACTAGCATTCCAAAAGTGGAAGGTAGCGGTCGAGCCACCTTAAATAAGGCCTTATAAACTAGAAATCCTATCATTTTTAGTGATGATCGTTACCTCCAAGAAGCTTGTAGGTGTTTTAAACGGCTCTGTCAAGATGCATGTACGTTCACAAGTTTTATTCACAAGGTTAATTTCGGTTTCAACATGGTTCGGCAACCAATTTCATATTTCCTTTGTAACCAGTTTGCATGCATATACGAATACACATTCACATGAATAAACGATTCGCTGTAGAATCAAAAAATTATAGTCATCAAAATGTCAATAAACTTCTAACAAACTCAAAAATAAACTTACACATTTTTTGTCTGTCCTGAGGGGATTCTAGGACAGTCTCACTCTCCTCTAGTTACAGTAAACTCCTGACTCTGGTCCCTCCTAACCAGCACTTCCCACCTGAAGCCCTTAGCAAAAATATTCATACGTCACAACGAAGCTTTATGAATAATTTGATTTTATAATTAACCATGATAAGTTTGAGTTTAATTATGCTTCTTACCAAATGATAAACATAAAGCAAAAATAATGGTTATGGATAGTAGTAGAGGGAAACTGAATTTCCACGTTAAAACTAATCTCTGAAATTACTAAAAATTGCTATAATTAAAATGAATACATTTTTTAATTTTTTTTGTTTTATGAAGCTATTTTAGAATAGCCATTGGCTAACAAACCTGTTGTAATTTCATTTGATATTATGTAGAATCAGCTGGACTTGTCAACCAAAGCACCATATCCTTCAGGTACTACACTTTGTGAAAGTCTTTGAATGTTTGCAGTGAATCATGTCATTGTAGTGACCATGCTTAGTGGAAATTATCTTTGAAGCACGACCATTATAATCGTTGAAATTCTAGTTGTCAAATGGAACATTGAACTTTGTGAGTAAGGCTTCAACAGTAATGGTAGTAGGGAAAGGTTTTTTTGTTTGTTCCTATCGTACATATGTACGATAATTATGATATACATATGTACAACATGGCTTTGTATTTTGGTTATTAAAAATAAGGGAGGCATATGGGTAGTGAAAAGTCTCAGGTTTGAATCCTGAACTGGGCACAACATGTAAGCAGACTTTATTTAGTCTTTAAGGGTTTTTCTCTGGTTTTCCTCCCCTCTGCAAAATCCAACTCACTAAATTCAAGTAAGATCTATGAGTGGTCGTGCCCTGACTTTGATCATCTCATAAATTTAAGATAAAATTTAAAGTTTTTTTTAAAGAATCAAATGGTTTTTATTCATTTAAAACAATTGAAAAGTGCTTTAATTTTCCATGTTTTGTTTTGTGCAGGACTCCTCAACCCATGGCAAAAGAGGATGAAATCCTTTCAGGAACTTGGACAAAGAAATGGTAAAAACAATACACTAGCTACATTATTACAGATAACTTATTTTACATAAATTCCTTTGCTTATGTCACCTTGTAACATCAAATGTTGTTTGTACTTCCAGGAGAAATATCTTGAGTCCAGAGAATCTGCAGAGAGAGCGGCAATTGGCAAAGATTGCAAGAGAAGAAGAAAAGTTGAGGTTGTTGAAGGCTAAGGTATGTCAGTTCCTAAGCTAGCTCAAGTATTTTTGGGCCCACATTAATTGGCTATACTGTTGCGGTAGCCCTGCTTCTTCTTTCCAATCAAATTGTAGTATAAAAACAATGCATTTGGGTAGTGGAGCCAATAATCAACCTAGACTGCAAGAGAATAGTAATTTGATCCTGATGTTATGGGTAAACAACTAGATAGCCATCATCGTTTTTCATGCAGGAATAAAAAGATATGTTACAAGGCTATTGTTTTCTGCTGCTTTCTGATTGGCTCCACTACCCAAAGTTGGAATGCATTGTTTTCATTCTACATTTTAATTGGTTATCTTGTCTACTAACTGGTCTAAGTGGTCCCTGTTACAGTAGTTGCACTGTGATTCCTTATGATTACTCTTCAGTCGGGGTAGTTATTAATAAAAATAATAGACCCTTTGCATTTTTTTTTTTTTTAACATTTTTTATTATCATTTGTCATTTTTATAAATATAACAATACAAAACAAAAGAAACACTAGTAAATCATAGCTAGGCAGAGATATAAAATTAACAATCTATTTAGACCCTTTGCAGTTAACGGTCACGTGTCTGTACTGGAGTGCAAAATTTTTGTTTTTATATTAAATTGGTGATTCTTTTTAGCTACTTGTAAAGAACTGAATGAAAAYATGTGTAACCAGTGTGTAACGAAATGTGGTTTTATTACGATCTCTCGAAGCAGGTTGTAGAAAGTTTATTTGCAGTCCAGTAAATTTCACCCTTGGGAATCAAAATGTTAATTCATATGCTCTCAGTGAATTAATCAGCACGTGATTGCTTAGAACATCTTTAGTTTCATTCATAACCTGTTATAATATTTTGTTGGTACATTAAGCAAAATATTCATGATTAATTGATTGATTTATAATTATATTTGATGTTTTTTTATTAATAGAGAATAGGAGAACAAGAATCTGCAATAGAAGAGGTGAGTAAGTCCATTCATTCCCATTCCTTCATCCATGCATCCAGCCATCCTTTCACTCCTTTTTCCTAGGATAATTTCCCCCACCTTATTTAGACACCATGTCACATCACTGTACTTTGATTTAAAAAATATTGGCCTTAAAATCACAGTTAGTCATTTGGTTCTTGGAATAATTTTTAGGGAATGATCCTACTCTCCAAGCAGAATTTTTCTTGTTCTCACTCTGTAACATAGGAGAAAAGAAGAGCTGGGTGGAAAGGTCCTTTTTTTACAGTTTCATGGGGGGGGGAGGGACTGTAGTATCCCCTATCGTGAACACAGATTTCTCATACCTGCTTTAGATGACTTTAATGACTTTGGAATAATTGAAAACCAACAATTGCTGGGTTTCGATCGCTGATAGAATTAAAGTTATTGTTTGGGTGTCCTCCATAATGGCTTGAAAGAAAAAATCGTCCTCTTTTTGTGACTAACAAACCTATGGCCCTCATTCAATAGAGTTTGCACATCTAGCGTGACATTTTCAATATTAATTCAAGACCAATAAACGTTTTGGTGACTTGAAACAGTGTTTCATGTGTATTGCAGTTTTCACTTCCTGTGTACATTTTATGCATCATGGCTTTGGCATGTTTTTAATCTAGGTCGACGGACTTTGCTCTACTGTGTATTTTTACACGTCTATTTGCAAATATAATACACATTTCGGGCTACCTAAAATCCTTTTTGGTCTTGGCTTCGATGATCTAACCTCGAACCCGACTACTGTAAGTTTTTTCAATTAGGTGTACTTGGACGAGGGAACTCAAACGCAAGCCTCCCAGCATTGGTGAGAAGTCGACGTTTTATAACAGCGTAGACTACCCATGCTACCCAGAAGAGTATTTAACTGTACTTAAAGTAAATATTTGACTGTTTTGTGATCTTATTTACCCCAAGGTTAGAGAAAGAATTCGCATTGAAGAGGAAAGTGAGGTCAGTACATAGAAAATAAATAGTAGAAATATGAAATAAAATGAAAACTTAGGAAAAATTGTTAATGGATTAGCCCAAAGGATCATCATTTGCTGGATGAATGAAAATGACAGAGTGTTTTAGATTCCCGTTTATCGCAAACGTGAAACGTCAGTTGATCATTAAAAACTTTTTTTAAATTATTGAAAAAGAAGCGCAAAAATCTCCAAGTTTTAGATAAACGAAATAATATTTTGGGTTTGTGGTTAGAGGGTTTTATAAAAAATAAAGTGAAATACGGTGAAACCGTGTTCGTGGCAAGGAAAAACTGAAATATTAGGTAATCTTTCTGTTGAGGTCCAGTTCAGACTTTTGTCACAGACTGAAATCTGATTTAAACGTCGCATTTAATTTTGCCACTTGCAATAAAATCAACGCGAGCTCGTGTTCACAAAAGCCAGCTAAAGCACTAGGATGTTCTTTATCCATTTTGAGAATTTATAATTTATGCATTGTATTTGATGTGACGAAAGTTCGAAGTTGCCATCAACGCCAATCTTTAGTCTTTTTGTGCGGTTGGCTCAGTTGAATTTATTTTGTCATTGGATTCAAATGGTCTGGACGTCGCACTTGTAATTCGGGAAAAGTTCCACGTCTGAACCGGACATTTTTWAAATACCTGTACAATGTGTTTGGATGACAGGAAGAAGAAGAACTAGAAGAAGATATGGCAGAGCTTATCCCACTCACAGAGAAAATGCAAAGAGAGGTAAGATGCTTATAAATCTTTATAAAATAACCGCTATAAATCCCGCGTTTCAGTTATTGGTTAGAACGCGTGAACTATGAGAGCACACAGCACGCTTGCATACTTCTTATTGCATCATTCCTATTATATCCAAATCACGGCTTTCGTAATTTTTCATTTTTTCAAAGAAATAAAAAGCCTACTTTTTGTTCTTCGTGCAGTTAAGGCGCTCAAGGATTTGCAGAACACTCGAAGTCGTCAGCTATACTTCGCGGCTTCTAAACATTTTTCTCGTGTTTTGTCAACCCCCACGTGCTTTGCCAACCCCGCGTTCTTTTTTAGTTGCACACAGTAAAGAACGTCTAAAGTAAAGCTTGTATARAGGTTTTACACCATTACGTGCCAACGCTCATACTACAGCTTGGGATGCCTGTGGTTTGATGACAGAACAATAAAATCACTTTGCAATTCTTTCTCATGTAAAACTAATGTATTGTTCCTGCCATCTAACATGGCTGCCGCCACGTGGTGGTGCAAAATCTCTATACACCCAATCAAAATATAGTGACGAATTTGAATAACTATTGTTCTGGACTGACTAGCCTCTCATACATGTGGAAACGCTTTTATGTTTCCACGTGAACGCGAGGCTAGTCAGTGGCTAGTCAGCGCAGAATAACAGTTATTCAAATTGGTCGCCGTATTTTGATTCGGTGTATACAAATTATATTGTCTTACCCGTCTTTGTTTGTTAATGCAACTTGTTTGCCTCCTTGCCATTTGGGATTCTTAAAACACTTTATGTTTCTTTGATTATTTCTTCATTTCAGTGTCCCCAATTAGTTTTATAAACTAAATACATCGACAATTAAATAAAGTTGTTTATTTTATTTTTATTTATTTACCTAATAAGGTGGATAGAGCATTAGGTCCAGGGAATGCTTCTGAAACCTTAGCAGATGGCTTCAAAATATCCATCACACGTGGGGACCTGACAACACTAAGTAATCTGAACTGGCTCAATGATGAGGTATCTAAACATTAGCTCCACTTATAAAAATTTTTAAAGTTCAGAATATTTCAACAATCCTCTGGATTTAAGACTAAAAGTTTAGACTTTGCCGGTTTAGAACAATCAAGTTTTTGTTAGGTCTTAGTTTCCCTTCACCAGGTCTTCTAGTTTTTCTCCATCTGCAACAAACACTTATCAAACTTTGGCCCACGTTAAATTCTTCAATTTAGATCAGCCTAGAGGTTGTTTCAGCGTACCATAGTGAGCTAGCCGTGCCCTGACTTAGATCAGCCCAGAGATTCTTTCGGGACTCTATCAGATTGAGTAAGCCGTGCCCTGACTTTGATCAGCCCAGAGGTTGTTTCAAGGTTCAATCTGTGAGTTAGCCATGCCCTGACTTAGATCAGCCCAGAGGTCGTTCCAGGGTTCGATCTGTGAGTAAGCCTTGCTCTGACTTAGATCAGCCCAGAGGTTGTTTCAGGGTTCGATCTGTGAGTTAGCCGTGCCCTGACTTAGATCAGCCCAGAGGTTGTTCCAGGGTTCGATCTTTGAGTTAGACGTGCCCTGACTTTGATCAGCTCATTACTTTAGCGTTTAATTGCATATAAATTCCTGATCAAAAAACTAAAGTTACTTTTTATTTGCTTTCAGATTATCAATATCTATTTCAGTCTAATAGCAGACAGAAGTAAATCTGAGGTATAAATTGTTTTTAAGTTTGTTACTTTAAAGTATAAAGATGCCGTTAATATTTATTTGACTTTGCCGAGCATTGAGGAGAGGGGGCTGGCTGGTTTGCGCTGCTAGTGTACAAAACTAGTGTACAAAACTTCTCACCGCTAGCTGTGAGGGCTGTTGAGGCTATTAGACCTGCAGCCCGAATGGTCTACGAGTCGATAGCTCGTAATGCTGAAGCCTGAATAGGCTATTGACTCGTTGAACATTGAGGTCGAGAGGTCTAATTTAACAAAACAAAAAACAAAAAAAAGAAGAAGGAAAAAAAAACCGAATCAGTCAAATAAATGGGAACAAGCAATTTTGGGATTAGATTGAAGTAATTTGCGTTTCCTTCAATTCATTTTTTTATTTAAAAACTGGCACATTCCGTGGCTAGTAGTAGTCTATCGAATAGACAACTAGCAGCTCAGCCAATCAGAGAGCATGATTCATGATATACCATTAGTAGGATTATGATAATGATTATTTGATACCCGCGCAAAACACAGATAAATACATTTATATTTATTTTTATTTTTGTTTTTCTAGGGATACCCTAAAGTACACACATTTAATTCCTTCTTCTACCCCAAATTAATCAAATCTGGTTGTGATAGTCTGAAGCGGTGGACAAGAAGGGTGAGTCGGTTGACTAATATGGATTTCTTTGCTCTTGAAAAAGCAAGAATCCCAAAATGATAAGTTGGTCAGTACGTATGAAGTGAGAAGTCCGCGGTTTGATTCCCTATCACTCATTTCTCTTGATTTCTTTTCGTCTTTGTAGCGTTGGGGAAGCACGGGTGGCGTAGCGGTGTGAGCGCTCACCTCTCATCAATGCGACCCGAGTCCGAGTCCCGCCGGGTTCGGTGTTGTATATGAGTAGAGTTGTTTGTTGGTTCTCTCCTGTGCTTCAAGGGTTTTCTGGGTTCTCCGGTTTTCCTCCCTCCACAAAAATCAACTCCTAAAATTCCAATTMGATCACGGAATGAGGGCCACAGGTTTGTTAGCCACTGGCTATTAAAAGTGCAACCCTCGTGAAAAAAGGACGTTTATTTTTATTGGAACTGGAACCCTCATGAAGGGAGGGGTGCAAAGAATAAAGGCTATATTGCACTTGCCTTTCACCTCTGGGATCTGAATACAATTTGACAAAAGAATGATACGTTTTCGAACTTAGCCTCCCCGGCAGGCTACCCCATATATTCTCCGTTGGGATCCCTGTGTTAAATCTTATGGCATAGAAGAACTACCACATGAAGCCCAAGGAGAAACCCTTTCTAAATCAGTAGTAAAATACGCATGTTTTTGTTTTTTAGGTTGATATCTTTTCTATGGATATGATTATTGTGCCAATCCATCTAGGAATGCACTGGTGCTTGGCGGTGAGTTATACAACATTTATGAGAATACAAAATTGTATTTTTGTATCTGGGGTGATATATTCCCTTCGCATCTAAAACTTCTCGACCAGCAGCCCTGAACGGTCTCCATGGAAATAGCGGTAGTCTTATTTGCCACGTTCACTGCTAGCCGCTGGGAAGGCGACAGTTGATTCAATTTTCACTTACATTATAGGTAATCGACTTCCGCAACAAGACCATCAAGTATTTTGATTCACTCAAGGGATCCAACAACCAGTGTCTTGATGCCCTCCAGTAAGTTGTGCTGTATTTTTTTGGGGKTTTTACAATATTCTCAGTGCATGTATGCTATACGTGCAATAGAACTCTTTATCTGGGATGTAATGTTTTCCCGTTTCAAACCACTTGCCATCCCTTAGCGTAAGATTCTTTGTTTGAGTTAAACAAAGAAATGATGCTCTAGGGAATGACACATGGTCTGAAATGGGAAAACATTATGCCCAAGCTTTAGAGGTCTATTGAATCGATATACATAGATGTTACTGCTTTTGTTGTTGACGATGTCGTTGTTGTAATGATCGTCGTTGTGGTTGTTTACCGTTGTTGTTGCTATTTTAGTTGTGGTAGTAGTTCTCGTTGCTGCTTCGTCGTGTTTTTGTTTTCACAGTTATAATCATAGCTTCTTTTACTTCTCCAGAAAATATCTCGCGCAAGAATCAAAGGATAAAAAAAAGGTGTCTTTCGATTCCATTGGCTGGACCCTATCATGTCCTAAGGTACATGAACTTTCATTGCATGTTACAAGTCTCCACAGGCAATTCTTGTTTTACCCTCCTTGGGAGTGCTATATAGATTATAAGGAAGAGGAGGTCTGGAAAGGAGTTCGTCTCTAGTCTCTACCATAAATTGCGCTGTTTTAATATGACGTCACAGCTTGTTAATAAGGAGGACAATGTTAAAGAACAATAAGAATTTGGACTAAATTTACTCTAATTTTATAAACCAGAGTTTATCTTACAATACATACGGTATTTGGTGGCTATTATTGTTTTTCTATATTCTAAAAATACAATTTTTCGCAGATTTATTTGTCTTGTTGCTGTTTGTGCCCCTTCCATGAACATTATTTTTAGCGTTAAAACAAATGATTGTTTTCGTATTGACGCCATGATAAAATAGGGCAATTGTTATACATAGGGATCCCCAGTCTGAAACCCTGATTATGGCTTGCAAAATGGGTAACAGTCGGTATTATTTGCGTGTCTGTAAAGGACAAGAAGACTAATAGTTTATCTGGTTATACATACAGGATATCCCTGAACAGCTGAATGGATGTGACTGCGGAGTCTTTGCTTGCACGGTATGCTACCACGTAATGTATTGAGAACCAGAACAGTTGAAGCAAACCTCCTTTTAACTGCTTACTATCAATCACGTGGCTTTTTGGTGCTGACTTGGAGGGGGGGTGGGGGAATTAATATGCAACTAGCAGCTGTTAAGTCCAAGCATGTCAAAATCTCACTATTTCTACCGTCTACCAGAAATCAAAATATATATACAACCTGTAAGATCTTCCAAGCTTCCAAATTTTATCAATCAAAACACAGATATTACCGAAAGTGACGTCTATTGATTGTAACCAATAAACCCTTTGCCAAAATGGCGGACGAAAATTCAAGTGAATAAAACCAATACCAGCACTAGAAAGAGCGCCTTTACTTTAGTAACCCTACAGAGATTCATTACATCAGGTGTTATATCGGTCGAGAAAACTTTAGTTGACAATTGTCAAATTTACAGAGGTTGGTATGATTGGGGTATAGCTTATAGTTACTCAAATACAGACGCTCTTTTTAGAGCTTTTATAGGTTTTTCACTCGGTTTATTTTTAACTCATTTGAATTTGCGGCCGCCATTTTTGCAAAGGGTCTATTGAAGAGAACCGAGAATGATTTTTTGAAATTTGTTTCACAGTATGCGGAATTCATAACAAGAGATGCGAAGCTCACATTCAACCAGGTAATCCGCTTAATACAAAGCTATTGAAATGTGTGTTTTGTGTGTGTGTGTGTAGTACAATAGTCCCTTTCACAGTTCCCCGGCTGCGCCATCTTGTAAGATAGCTGTGCCTTTGCATCGAAGCGAGACGAAAGGTTGGTTTGCAATGACAGAGAAGTGTGATTAATTGTTCAAGGTATTTTAAAAAGGTCTCTATCATTGCAAGCTCACCGTTTGTCTCGCTTCGATGCAAAGGCATGGGTACCTTTCAAGATGGCGCAGGGAACTGTGAAATGGTTTCTAACCACACTCACACCATTACCATACTAGTTATCGTATCTACATTTTCATTCCATGAAATCGTTTTAATTTCTATATATCAGTAAACTGGTGCATGATTGTTGCATTTAGGTCATTTTTCTATGCATTTATTATATTGACCGGAATGCATCGACTTGACACGATTGTTTGAAGGCAATACAGCGTAACCCTAATGTTTTTAATTATTTTTAATAAGGCTTTAGCAATATTGTTTCTATTTTTGATTACAGCACCATATGCCGTACTTTAGACGACGAATGGTTTACGAAATTCTCAAAATGAAGCTGCTCTGAATCCAAGTTCCTTGTTATCAGGCCTCTTGTGATCTACGAAATTCTCAAAATGAAGCTACTCTGACTCCAAGTTCCTTGTTATCAGGCCTGTTGTGATCTACGAAATTCTCAAAATGAAGCTACTCTGCTCCTAAGATCTGGTCGTTACGTGGTTTCATATATTATTATATACAGTGTGTATAAAGACTATCAAAAGCATGTAGTAACGATGACAAATTTATCATATGTAAAGGATGTATATTTAAAACAAGTCTAGCTCGAACTTGCTACACTACCATACGCTTAACTGATCTACCCAAGAGAAAGACCTTTCTTTTATCACAGAGGAAAGCTGTTTAGTTTTGTTTACGTAGAAGCAAGTGTGAGCAGGCACAATTTATTCTTCGCCATATTCATATATATATTTGGAATAAACGTACATAATATCTCTAACAATTTACTGTATAATTTATCATTAGCGCAAGGTGCTCAAAGAAAGTGTGAGAATAACACTCAATCGATTCCATTTCATTAAAATGACATTTTCTGACATTCATTTCGAAAGTTATATCGATTATCGATTTTTGTCAGAAATCCAAGATGGCCGCCGATACTGCTGTCATGACCACCACCGTAGTACTAACCGTTTAAATCAATCCCTCTACTAACTGTTTACGACCACACCATATGAATACTGATGTATGATGAACAAAAAATATTTGTATTTTAGCTCTCTATCGCAAAAAAAAAAAAAAAAAATGTATATTTTTCCCGTCTGTGGTTGTAACGAGTGGTCAATTAAAAGTTCCCTCAGTCGGGCCCGCGAAACATCACTTTTGAAGCGAAAAAGACTTTCCGCCGTATTGCGCATGAGCAGAATATATGTAGGCAGTTATTTGCTGTGATTTCTGCCAATCAAAACGAAGGAAAAAAGTTGACAAATGCATTGCGCAGGAGCAGACTTTCTTGCAGCAAAACGGCTTTGCATCACAATGAGCATGAGCAGAATACTATTTTTAGGTAGTTATTTGCAGTTGTCTCGGCCAATCAAAACGGCGGAACAAATAATTTGAATGATAATAGTGATTAAAGTCATTTAAAAATGTCCCCGAAGCGGAGAACTCATTTCGTCACAAATCCTAAAAAAGAGTCAACGGTGGTTTGCGATAACTACCCTGTCTTGCTTTCCAAGTGCCATCTTGACTACATCACCATATTGATAATGAAAGTATAAAAACGATTTATTTTCTGGCTGTGATCGTGATGTCTATATTTAGTAAGGTGGTCTATCTTGGTTTTCAACAAACAAAGCAATATATATTTTACCTCTATTTTTCTTTATTTTTACATGATAAAAAAACTTATAACGATCAATGAGATATATACCACACGGGTGGGGCAAGAAGTCCCACGTCATTTACGAGGTTTGTACAAGTTTCATCGTTTATCCATCGGGGGGAAAAACAGCCAAGAGTCCTTGAGTGAGTGTTTTGTGTTGAAAGAACTAGGGAGGAGTTCAAATAAATACGTCGTGCATCCGCATGCAGGACCAGGTTTTGAAAGTCATGCATAAAGACACCCGGCCCAAATAGCTTTACTGCATGGGTGGGTAGGCTAGTGCCCTTTCTGCCCACGCATCACTATTTTTGTATCTATTTAGAGTAATTGTCTTCAGGCTAAAATTCCTTTAGGTTTTTCCATAAGTAGGGTTCTGAAAAGTGGTTGTTGCTTGCTTGAAAATTGGATTTTCGCCCTGAAAGAAAAAAATTCGAGTCAGTCAAGCGGTTGAACAAGTAACCAGCAATTAGCCATTCCAAGGTCCATTCTGGGACTGTTTTAAGGGACATGTTTCCAAGATGGCGTCTGTTTGGCCCCTTAGAACATAACCACAATGCACTGTAATGCAAACTCGACGCAGTCAGAAAGGCTAATGTAACAAACACTAGTCAATAACCTTTCTATTTTGTAAGGAATCAAGTGTTGCTTTTAGCCTCCTCCGCAGGCTCTTTGGGATTCCTGTGTTAGGAGTTTGAGCTTGCTGGGAAAAGAGATGAGAAGGAATGAGGAGAGGGGAAGGGAAACTTTGTTTCGTCCTCAGTCCCACACGGTCATCCTCAATCCCCTCACGGTCTACATGCAGGTTAAAATGCCAATGGAAGCGCAAGGAGTCTGCGGAGGAGCTAGGTTATCGTGCTTGCATATCTCACCGTATCCCATTTTGCATTCTGCTTTTCCTTTTGAAACTTTGCAAACTCTCGACGATCCTGAAGAAGTAAGAAAATTATATGATGTATTTTTACAATAAGACAAGTCCAAAGAAAAACCCTCCGGTAGTAAGGATGAGAACAATACATCAAACTGTGAGAATGACTGTAAGAATGAAAGTTCTCAGTAATCTTGCAGTCGAACATTCATAAGTATAAAAATAAAAAAGGTAATAAAGTAACTATATCTAACGTTGCCCGGTAGTTCATTCAGCTACGTGGCTGTTATCCCAGGAAGCCGACGATGCGCACTTTAGTCCCCTCTTCATCAGTGCTCTGTTTTAAGAATATTCAAAACTGAAGCTACACGGATTAGAGACAAGTCGAAACAGACGTGGAGATCCTGGGGATTGAACCATGAACCTCTGGCTCTGAAGGCCGCGCACTAACCGACTGGATACGCCTTCCTACGGTTACACGTTGCGACCTGATGTACATACTGCAAAGGTCTACCTGAATGGTTGCCAGTAGTCTCCAGATGAGAAGTAATGCGAGTCCAATGGCCAATATGGCTCCTATTACTGCTAGAATCACCACTATGGCTTCGATCTCGCCTGGACAAACTGACAAGCAATTTCAATAAAATTCTCGATTAGCGATCAAAGGCTAAACTTTGAATCAAAAACAAATTACAACACGACCAATACACCTCAAAATGTGGTAGTAATTTGTCCTTCATGCTCAAATTTTTTCCGTACAAAGTTCAGCTATGATATCAAAATGGCAGTGGCTTCTCATAGTAAGGAGTGAAATTGTCCATTTCTTTTTATACGGTATTGAGTTCTTGAACTCAAGARACCTGTTAAAATTAGTGTAAATTCTCGGGGGGGGGGGATTAACTTGTCAAGTTGAAATCCCGATGGGTAGGGTGCGTGCATGAAGGGTTGAAAATACATAACACGTGGCGTACCTCTTTCTCTTTGGACGTATATCACTAATTTATAGTCGGATGATGCTTGATAGGCGAAGTGAAAAGTGCAGTCATCCTCGTCCTTGAAGGAACACGGTTCACCCATGTCTAGGGGGAACAAAATAAAATAAAAATGAATTATTAATAAGTAAAAAATCGAGGAAGGGGGGAGGGGGTGAGGGTAGGGAGGAAGTGTACTCCCTAACAAGTAAAAGTCGTCTGTTGTCTGCGATCGCGACGATGAGCTCTTACGACTTTCTCGTTGAACGAAGAAATTAAGTAAAGAACTAGAAAACACATAACGCTCTTCAGTACAGTTTTTGAAGGAAAGGAAAGGAAAGGCGAGAGTGAAAAAAGCAGATTTATTAGAGATACGTAGTTCCAAGACAACATTTCTTGAAATACTCGTATACATGTAGTAGGTAATGTACTCATTTCGCTTACGTGGTTTGATTTCGTCCACAATAATCAGTTTTATTGATTCATCGCACGCCAGGCCCTCGCATCCTACTCCAAACGCTCTGCACTGTACACAGGCCTTGTTAGCTGCACATCGGCCAGAACAACTCTGCGGCAAAAAAGAACAAGGAAATTATATTGACTACTAGTCGGAGTGGTTTTACTTGGCCTGGTAAACAAAGTTGTATAATTAGTGAGTAACAGTTAAAGTAAAACAAAGAAAACAATGGAATTAGTGTCCACTACTGTGTATTATATTGACTATTCTCTCACTGGCGAAGGACAATCACTCTACTATTCATCAATCATACTAAATTATTATTCACACAGTTACGTTGTTCATGCACTGACTTGCACAAGAGCTAGCCATCCGTTATGGATTATATTTTTATGTGCGTCGCAAAAGAAAAGCGTCGTACCACGCCTGCAGTAATCTATTGGATGTCTAGTGGTTTTCATCTTAGATCGATGTCATGTAGCTCAAAGGCTGGATGTAACGTGTATTATTTCTCAATTGACACGGTTTTCTTTGTTATTCACAAGGCTTTATTTTTGTTATAACCCTCATTATATATAGACCTCGCATTTATAATGAGCAACATTTGATAGAAAACCTTCTCAATTGATAAATAAAATACTTAATTACCTCAAACGTCGGCAAAAAGCCTATACATCCCTCGGGCCAGCGGCCCTTGGGATGTATATGGCTTATTGCCTCCGTTCTCGGTAATTGACTCTTACTTGACAAGTGTATGGTGCACTTCCCACTTGTCTAGATTTCTGGCTAGGGTCTTTTGCGCATATCTGTGACTCTAATTACTTTATCGTATATGCTAGTATAAGATTGTTTCATCTGCGCAAATCGACAAATATCAACCACAAGGAAATTAGGAAATGATTATTAGATTATTAGAAAATTCAGTAAAAAATAAATAAATAGATAAATAAAATGATAATAAACAAAGAAATAAAATAAAACATAGGAAACATAAATTCAAAACGAACTTTGAAATAAGTTATATTCACTCTTCATAATGACACCGGTGGGTGTGGAAACGTCGAGTAGTAAACTTGTCGCAATAAACTTTATAATCAAACTAAACTTTTGTGTATTAAGTGGTGAATACCTACAAATATCTATAGATATAGGTATATGTGTATACTCACGGGACAGTCGTCACAATATGTACCAATATAAGGTAAACTGGAATTACAGACACACTTGCCGCATTCACACCAACCTCGATTGCTGCAAAGAACCTAAGAACAACAACACGAAATACTTCGTAAACATGCAACTGCTGTGACTATCATATAGCATATCACACACCCCTTCTTTGAGTGCATATTACGTCATAGCCGCCATCTTGGTTGACGATAACAAAGCATTCCTCATTAGCTTTTCTTATTAGTTCAACCAACATGGTGGGTGTTTCATTGTTATTTATATCACAAAGGATTTTGAGTTATGTGGTTGTACGTCAAAAATAGCTGGCTCGAAATTGATATGATGAATGTGAGTGTGAAGGGTACAGAGGGTACATAAGTAGGAGATTACACCAAAAGATAAAGTTGAAAATCTTGAAAGTAATTTATCGGTTAATAAATGGCCCACTTAATTAAAGTTATGGTCCATAAAGAAACTGCTGGCAATAAAACTGCAGACTCATGTCAAAAAAAAAAAAAGCCCTCAGTACAGAAGGGACACGGTCTCACTTGTAAAATTGCTGGCCATRGGATAAGGGAGGCTCAGCAACTGATTCTCGGTTTTTTGGACCCTACTCCTCTTGATAATGAGCAGGCATGTCAAAAAGAAACACGTGCCAGATAACGGAGCACCTTGATAAATGTCGTCAATAGGAGAAAGGGTATTTCGGTAAAAGCCTTGAGTAATTGTGACGCGATAAATGTATCCATCGCAGAAAAATCTACAGATAAAACTTTTATCATATTGAGTTCACATGATATCAGGGATTGGCTTAGTATTATCAGCCAATCAGAGGCGAGATAGAAAGTCAAGTGTATAATAGTCATGATCAGTCAGTATACGTAACTTACACCATTTTCTAGACAACCATCGATCTCCTTTGTACAATCACATGCTGGTCCTGTCCAGTTACCAAAGCAATGACATTTACTACAATCACATTTTCCTTGATCAGGACCTGTCAAATTACAATTACAAATAAGCACAAATAAGGTGGAAAAAATTATTGTTTGTAACGATAAGTCTTTCAGTATAGTACTGATGGTTAGCTACAACCTGGGTTACAGAGACCTTTGAGGTAAGGGACCTGGGGAGGAAGGAAGAGACTAGTAAAATAATATCGCTTATGTATCTTACTGTCTATGCCAAGGTCTCTTTGTCTCCTAGGAAAATGCATTGGTTCGGAGGTTAAGTCATCACGGCCATGTTAGTTGTATTTAACAAAATTCTCATTACCTTCCCGCATTGTTAATTCCACCAACATGGCCGCCATTTCTTTGTCTTTTGATTCTCTTGTGAATGCCACTAACCATTAATAACGCCACATACTGTATAAATAAGAGGATTACACTAACAACCTACCTCCACAAAGTAGTTCATCTTTGTCGCGAGGACAATCGATGTTGCTACATTCACAATTCTTTCCATAGATTTTCTCGCCCGGCGTCTGTCAATACAAACGACATAATAGATGATCGGTTAACGTTAAACTGAATACCGAACGGTACGGTAACGGTGCGGACTGGAATGAAACCATCACTTTCAAGATATATACACCTATGTTGGTCCGACATCTGAAATGGGCGATCTGATACTAAACGGAATTTTTGTGCTCTTGTGTTTTCTGGCTAAGATACGAAAAATCAAACTTCTAGCTTATAACTTATGCTTCTATGCCAATCTAAAAGAAAACTACGTTATTAAGCTGTGAATAAATTACAATTTGCAGCGTGCTACTCTGTCTCAGATCGATCTCACATTTCAGGTCGATTTCCGACCGACAACGTTTTTTGAAATAGGTGTAAACTTTGTTGGTCGTTGTTCAAATGTGGTGGCGTATTTAGAAAGTAACTTGTTGCGAACTGCTAATTTAAAGACAAAACAATGAACGTACACTTTAATTCATATTTGAAATTCACAGCAGCTCACATCCCATAATTCATTTCGGTCTCAGATTTTAAATTTCAAACCTCCGACCAACAAGTTTTTTGACATCGATCATCTCAACCTTAAAGGGAACTAAACGGTTTAGAATGATTATACTGACCTTGCTCTCCTTGCATTGACATTCACCGCAGAAACATTCTCCTCTCAGACGTCCACTACATATCTGACCAGTAGCGTTGTTTCTATTAAAGCACAAAAGATTTGAGATCCCTTAAATCAATATTGAGACTGAGTGGCGGAATTTGTGTATCTGAACTAGGGTACGCAAGGGCGGATCCAGGGTTTTTTTTGAAGGGGGGTCTCAGGGGTAAATTTTTTGGGCAAAGGAATCCCAGTCGCATTTTTACCACAAGAAGCCCATTTGACTTCAGGAATGACAGGGGGGTCGCGATCCCCCCGACCCTCCCCCTGGATCCGCCCTTGGTACGTAAGTGTCATACGAGGTTATAGTCATACAAAATAATATTTGCTTAAAGTATTCTAGACAGAATTTCAATGATGCAAGTACAATTAATTTGAAGTTTCATAAGTCAATATGGAAGTGGTCCTTACTCTGGGCATAACGATTGGTCGTATTCTGTTCCTGCTATGCAGCTACAAAGTCTTCCTTTCCTATAAAAATGGAGATGTATTTTAAAAAAATATCACGCTTTTTCCAGTACAGCAGTTTATGGGACCTATAAACGTCAAACTCTTTTTTTTTTTTTTTTTTTTGAGTAGCCACTAAAGTAGAACAATATCTAGTCTAGTTTTCTCCCTCTAGCCATGATGTTATTAATATTATTTTATTTATTATGCTTGTTACTCCATGTTGTTTGACGATAACAAAACGTTCGCATTCGTTAGCGCATTGAGGTAATAGAATGCGCTTTATAAGCACTAAATATTATTATTATTCCTCTCTTTAAGCTTCCCTTGTTAGATCAACCACATTGTTAAGGAGTTTCGAGTCATGTGTTTCAACCCAAGAATAGGTCGCTGTTTATGCTCTGTTATCACTTGTGTCACTTGTGTCACCAACAGTGAAAAAGCTAGCACTCCGAGTTATAGAATCAGTCTCTTTTACATTATACTTTTCTCTTACCAGCCTTCATCACAATCACACAAGCCGCACATTAACGTCCCGTGAGATGAGCAATGATCACTTTTGAACACCTTGATTGAAATAAAGAAAACGAAATATTAATATACCGATCACTATGGCTATCATCTGCCGACCAATACTCATTATCATCGGCATGATTACGATCTTCATCATCACCATTATAATCAAAACTATCATCATTGCCATTACGGCACCGTCAACGTCACCACCATGCAACATCTTTCTCACCACCACCACCGTCCCCATTAACATTAATCATCATAATCATCATCATCAGCACCATCAGCACCATCATTGTAATTGTCGCCATCATTATCATTGTCGCTATGGCCATCATCATCATCATCGACGCCATCACCATCATCAAAACGATCATCATTGCCATCACTCACCAACGCGTCATTACCAACATCATCAACATCATTTGCCAACTCCATTTTAAAATATCACTATCAACAACATCCCAATCATGGTCCGCATTACATGCAAAAATCTGTCAAGTTCGACATGCTTGACCTAACGTTTGAGRAAACTTTCCATTTTGGATGACAATAAAAAATAACCATTTACATGGTTGATATACACATTCAATCGAAATATGGAGACCAATTAGAATAGCTATTGACGGACTAGCTTCGTGTTCACGTGGAAACATTAAAGCGCATGAAGAACAATAGTTATTCAAATTGTTGCCATATTTTGATTTGGTGTATGCTTCGAGAATTATTCGTCATGATCATTGTAAGGCCCCGTCCACACGTATCCGCAAATTGTTTTATCCGCAAATTGTTTTTTGCGGATACGGGTTGCGTCCACACGTGTCCGGAAATTTTTGTGACCGTATCCGCGTATGCGTATTTTGGACGGTGAAAATGATTCGAATACGCTGCGTGTGGACGCAAACATTTTCGTATCCCAAAAAAATAATTTGCGGATACAAAAATTTGCGGATACGTGTGGACGGGGCCTTACATGGTTGATATACACACTCAATCGAAATATGGCGACCAATTTGAATAGGTATTGAATAGCTATTGACTGACCAGCTTCGTGTTCACGTGGAAACATAAAAGCGCATGAAGAACAATAGTTATTCAAATTGGTTGCCATATTTTGAATTGGTGTATGATTCGGGAAATATTCGTCATGATCAATGTTAGCAGCGCTCGCCTGCCAGCCTATCAGGAGCAGTTATATTTAGCGTTCAATTTCACCTTTCGATAACTTTGATTTGAAATACATGTCAACTAACTAGTGTTAATGAATCTTAGTACCTTGTTGTCACGGTGTTCACATTCACAGTCACATATGTACTCTAGTCCAATGTCTACTTCACCAAAGGCTGTCCTCAAATGAATCCTAAAGTATTGAATAAAACAGTCAATTTCGAGTAGATTTTGTCCGACCTTGTGAAAAGTAACGGTCAAGGTAAGGAATAGACACATCCTTTAACCAATCACCGTGCACGAGTTCACAGCTGTTCAGCCAATGACCATGCTCGAACACGACGACATCGTCACGGTTATGGCACGAAATAAACCAATTCCTTTAAACCAATCACAGCGCGCGATATCACTGTTCAGCCAATGAACATGCTCGAACACGACGACATCGTCACGGTTATGGCACGAAATAAACCAATTCCTTTAAACCAATCACAGCGCGCGATGTCACTGTTCAGCCAATGAACATGCTCGGACACGACACTGTCACGGTCACGGTACTGCACATTTGACCATGCGTTTTTTACATTCATACAAAGTAGATTCCTTTTACATTCACTAAATACCGGTGYGTTTCATGACTAATCACTCATTTGTAAATCTTTAGCCTCGTTTAACCTCAAGTCATTTGCAAAAGCCAACTGTAAAATGTAAAGAATGTGCAGCTTCAACTATACTATTGTTTTAGAATCTCAGGGACTTTTAATGGTATCTGTAAATATTTGACTCACTATGGGACGATTCACTATGAAACAGACACACGAAACAACTACATCAGGGTGTAATAGTCGTTCCGACCCTCCAGTCTCAAGTACTGTAGTTCTCTTTTATGTTTTGCATTTGCTAGCAGAGATACGGTAGCACCTGTTTCTTGCTGATCAGTAGTTACTTACTTGTCTGGCATGTCTTCAGAACATTTTTGAGATGTCACGGAGACTTCAAACGTTACCTGCCATTAAGATGATTAAGAAATAAAAACATTACGAGAGAAATGAAACGAACCGAAACAAACCAATAAACCAATGACACCCCCCCCCCCTCCAGGGGACATTGCGACCAAAAAGACTATCTGAATGTTCCCTATAGGAAATACGCCGTTATGGTAGAAGACGAGAAAGAGGGTCTTCAAATAGTCCTTGTTTTACGAGGCTAACACTGTCTTCCTCTAGCTAACAAACCTGTGACCGCTCATTTCACGATCCGAATCGGAATTTAAAAGTTTATTTTTGTGGAGGAAGAAAAACCGGAGAAACAGAGCAAATTTTGAAGCAAAAGAAAAGGCCAACAGACAACTTTACTCATATAGGGCTTAAAAACCGGGAATCGAACGCGGCTTGCTCGCGTGCATTGGTTAAAGGCGGGCTCTCATTGCTACGCTTCTATTGCTTCCCCTTTCTCCTACAAGAAAGTATTTGCATATTTGCGCAGGTTCGTACCCAGTCCTCATTCACGTTTACGTTTTTCTTAATGCACTGCGAACTCACTAAATATTCTTTCCATCAAACACAACGCGAGAACAATAACAGCATAAGAGAAGCCACTAGGTACGGGTCTGGTATGCGTGAGGATGCACGTGGGTCAGGAAAACATCGATCAAAGATATACCTACCACTTCCCCTATCTTGACATTGTTACAGACTTTCCTATTCTCGTACACACCATCACTAGAAACAAATGAAAATCTTTATCGAACCCTGAAACAACCTCTGGCCTGATCTATATCAGGGCACGGTTAAAACAGATCGAATTGAAATTTATCGTATTATATAGGTACTGCACAGAGGTTGGGAAACAAGCTGAGAAAAACTAAATAACCCAGAGAAAAAACTTTCGAATCAAGGATCTAAATTCAATATTAATTGCAAGGCTTTTATCTTACGGGCAAATGGCTCTGTACTGGACTGTTACTTCTTCAGTTGAGTTGTCAGAGATGGTTTGAGTCTTGGCGATTTTCTGTGACGAAACAAAGAACAAGATTGTATCAATAATCTATATCAAATTCCCAGAGCCCTTCGCAGCACAAGAAATCGCAAATAAAATGATATGTGGGGTAAATAATCCTCTTTACGAAATGAGTATTCTTATTGATGGTATTGTGTACTTTGTTAACGACATGGAATGATGTGGAATCACTGCCACGCAAAAAGACACTTTAATTAGCTTTCGATCTCATTTTACTTAGTTTCTTTTCCTCTCTTTTTTTTATTTTTTTATTTCTTTCTCGGTTTACCTTCCTACTTCCTTCCCTGTCTTTTTCTGTTCTTTCATTCATTCATTTATGCATGCATCGATTCGTTTATTCATTTATGCATGCATCGATTGATTGATTTATTCGTTCATTCCGCGTTCTTTTTCACTTCCTTTCGTTCTTTCTCCCATTCTCCTTTTTCGCTTATTTTCAATTATTTCCAAAAGGTTTAAATCAGACGTGTGGTATCCCTGCGTTGCTGTGCCAGCGTCAATAAGCTGTGTCAATATATTATACACAAACAAAGGCGCTGTCCGAGTACGTATTTGATATCAAGTGGATTAATAATCCTCAAGACATCGATCCGCACGTCATAGGTCAAGAACCAGGGTGACTTTACCTCATAAGCTTCTCTTATCAGAGTTACAATATTGGAACCATCAGTGTTCAGCTCTTCTGCTACGGAAAAACTGTCCTCGCCAAAGAAACTTTTAACGTCCTGACGAATAAAAGAAAGAAGCTGTGTGGATTAGATTTTCACGACGTTAAAGGAAATATATAAAGCAAATGAACTTGCTTTCAAAGCAAATGTCGTGTGAATAAAGTTGAATGTTATCAAACATTCAGGTGTGAAACACGCCATCATGATGCCGTGTCTTGAAGCCATTCTTCTTTATTAGTCCGATAAATTTAATCTCATCTCTTGCATTTTCTTGATGATATAAAGGCGGGTTATAAAGTTCGTATGATTTTTTACAGCACACGCAAAAAATGCTTTTTTTTGGCACAAATGATTCATTAGACGCCTACTTTTGAAGAAATACAAAACGCGTGCGCGTGCTGTGTCCAGTTATAAAGCACGTAGGGTTTGTCAGAACACAAAGAGAATTCGAAGTGTTTAGGATAAGTACAACGCATAGCAGACTGCTTCTTAAGACTTCTCGACTGTTCTACCAATCCCCAAGTACTTTATAACTGTACACAGCACAGCAAGCAAGGTTTTTGTTACTTTTATGAAATACAAATTACAATAAATGTCATTTCAAATAGGAATGAACAACTTAAAGTGAGAGAGCGTGCTGTGTGCTCTCATAAAGCACGCGCTCACAACCAATGAGAAACCGAGATTTATATAACAGGACTGAAAGAAATGGGTGGTATGTATATAAAGGTTCCAAGGTAGCAGCGTTTAGGGCAACAACAATATATATATATAATTTTGAGGGAAACTGAAACCTTTCATCATGCAAACTTACAGTTATTGTCTTACAAAATGGCTATCGTGAAACCTCTCTCCAAAGTTTGTCCAGTACTAATACTCTAACACTTACGTCATATATTGCTTTCTGACTCTTCGTGATGGCAAATATCGGTACGACTTGGTTTTCAAGAAGCTTTTCCCGAACTAGACCGAGGGAAGGATAATCCTGTTGAAGAAAAAAATCACATAAGCTGATAAATCAATAGACGACAAGTTATAGAGTCTTCTAGAACATTGTATGCCATCGGGAGTACGTGAGTTATCTGAGGTGGAGGTCAGTTGAGGTGAGTGTGTTGCTTGTTAAAAAGGAATGGCTTGCAGTAAAAAGTCTGTATATCGCTTTTAGATTTTGCATTACACTTTATTCTTGTTTTGAAAACTCAGTTCAAAGTGGACTAGATAGCCAGTCAATCTTCCCTCCCTGGACTGTGAGGGAATCTCTATTTTTTTCCTTGGTCACTGTGTGGTCGAGGTTTACTTCGTGTCTTCTTCGAGTGTTTGTTTCGTGTTTGCTTCGTGTTTGCTTTGTATTTGCTTTGTATTTGCTTCGTGTTTGCTTTGTATTTGCTTTGTATTTGCTTCGTGTTTGCTTCGTGTTTGCTTCTTGTGCGTTTCGTGTCGCTTCGTGTTTGCTCAGTTATATTAGCTGAGAGAGGATAAGTGTCGAGTTGCCCAACCCCGCCAATCCTCGCTCGGCCAACGAAACAAAGGGAGAGAGAGAGGGACAAGGGAGAGAGTAACTAAGAATAGAAGGAGCTAGTGTTCGCAGTGTACTTGGTTAGTTTAGACATACCTGTGTAGTTGACGCATCGTATTGCCCATTCGTAATATGACAGTTACCGTCGTTGGGAACCACGACACCTCCAAGCTATGCAAAGAATCAATTTAAAGAAGTTTACAGAACAACGATATTTTTTTCCCTCGGGGCGAAAATTATAACCATGGCTAAAACCCTGGTCTATACACTTTTTAACGCTCAACTAATTAGATTATTTCCAAGAAGAGATAACTAGCTAAGAACTAGTGTGAGCTGTGTCGGTGTTTCTAATGAAACCGTAATGATAAAAGGGTAAATTATACACCGTGAAAAGATGCAAAGATTGGCGAGCGCTTTTATAAATATCGGAGGTGCAGTCATAAAAACGAGACATTTTCTGGCAGTGTTCATAAGAAACCTTTGGAAACCATTTCTAAAATCCTTGCAGAAAAGATTTTGCCTAAAGTGAACTATATATCTTTTCAAAAAGTTATAATTCTGTTCCCAAACTAAAAGAAACTTCAAAAGATTTCATTATTAACATAATTTCAAAGTTTGGAATGTGTTTTCTATAGCGCGTAAGATCTTGCCCGAAAATGCCTGGTTTTCGAATCTGAAAACATCTCGGAAAAGATCTAACTCGGATATTGCATAGTGTAGCCGTGCGCATGCACCTTACGGCATCACGAAACCCCAAGTCGATAATGTCTTCTCAGGGTCTCAAGACTTTTCCCAAATTCGCTTGAGAAATGATGGCTCGATCCCAGTCGAGGTCGAACTTGATAAATAAAGTAAATGTATGAACACATCAAGTCCAACCTCGGAACCATTGCTTCGTGGTCACTAGAAGTCTTGCCTATAGACTTGCCCCAAGTCGACCTCTCTTGTTTCTCGGTTGTTTTTTTTCTTCTGCCTACTTACCAATCCATCTCCAGCTATGTGGTATTTGGCGTCTGTTGTGAAAACAACCAACCTTCGTGCTGCTTGTTTTCGAACCCAACCGATGTCCTACGAAAGAATGTTGCAACTAGATTTAGATAACGAATTTCTCATACCATCTTTAGAAAAAACTACCTAACTTAAAGCTATAAAGTAAAATAAATACGGCGTAACGCCAATCGAACTGTTACATTAGTCGCAGCATGCAACTAGCATTAGTCTCCCTCGCATCCGTTTTTAGTGTCGGTCGTCACGGGAGCGTTGCGTGACGCCCGACACTAAAAACGGATGCGAGGGAGACTAAACTAGCATTGGCTGTAACTATTTAATATCAATATATGCATTACATGGTAACATTGAATAACGCAGACTCACGTGATTAACTCGTGGGAGTCAGTAGAGTGCAAACGATAATTCGTGAAATAGCCGCGCAAAACCTAAATAGCTCTMAACACACCAACTTGTTTCGCTCACGATTGTCTCAAAATTAGTGTTATTTTCATTGGTTAGTTCTAGCAATTTCATGGATATATGGTTTGCACCCGACCACACGTTCCTTATTCTCTCAAAACTACTTAATGCGCTAGAGAAACGCGAGCAGAGACTATGACTTGTACCTACCGTGTGGCACACAATGACTTGAAGAAAAGCATCCATTCCACCTTCTGGGTTATCAACATTACCAGATATATTTTGCTCCGCCACTTTAGCCTAGAAAAATAATACGATTATGATATCGATATGTCTAAATGGTTAGGAGTCTCTTAATAATCGTTAAGCTTTCTCTTGGGTTTCAGGTGTTCATTTACAACAAGCGTACATCATTAAACATTGACGAAACACCTCGTTCGCTTCTTGTATACAAGTATCAAATTGAACTGATCCTCGCAGTATGTGAAGCAACTTATGGAGCTGCAAATTGAAAGACTCAGAAAAAATTCTGAATCTTGAACGGGATTTGAACCCGTGCCTTGGCGATTCTGGTGCCATGCTCTAACTTGTATACAAGTGTCGCGTGCCGCGGGTTGTCGCTCGCAACGGAGTCGCGACACAAGTTGCAGCGTGTAACCTACAGCGCGATTTGAAAAAAATTTTGCGAAAAAAGTTGCAGCAATCGTTGCAAAAAGTAGAATTCGTTTCTACTTTTGGCACCAATGGCGTCTCCGTTGCACCGTGTAAACACTCTTGCAACTTGTGTCGCAACGCTGTTCAGTGCAAGACAAGTTACAGAGAAAATTGTTCCATGTAATCGCACCTTTAATCGCATGTGATGCCAAGTCTGAGAAGTCGAATTCAAGACCCCAGACGTCACCCTTGTTTCCCACTCACTCAATTTTCCAGACACATTCATATACAAGTCTATAGAGCAATTGGAGGATCGTAAAACAAAACATAAGGAGCTCTAATATCCATACCTCAAACTTGGAAGTGTTTAAGTCCAAAGGAAGAACATTCCTAAATCCGAAGGCTGGAACAGAAGTCTGGTCTAGCGAGCCGTCTGAGAGTTGGTGAGGATGGATTAAGCTAAAAACATAATTGAAATATTCATTACTGTGACTATTGGCTTCTATATAACACAGTTTATCATTTCATTCTCTTTAGTATTATGTCTTTGTTCACATCCGCAAATTTAACACTTGATAGCACTACAACGAGCAGTTATATTTTCAAGGGCTATAAGAGCTAAAACACAAGTTGTCTTTAATGGTAAAAAATTCCATCCAAACGAATAAGGTCTAGGACAATACAAATACTGTTCCCGTCTTGGCACGTCCGCAGTCCCGTCCGCACAGTTCAAAAGATGATTTTTTTGCTAGCTCAGTTAGCACTTTATCATATAATAATATCCTAATAATAAGTCTATTCTTGGGATGCAACCAATAACCCGAAAGCAAGATTGTGGCTATGTCGTACCATGCATACTAAGCGCTGCAAATTATTTACCAGTTRTAATCATCTTTCTTAAACTTTTAATAAACTTGTGTTTTATAGATCATGCGCATTTTGCGGCATAGCCGCCATCTTGATTGACGATAGCAAAGCATTCCTCATTAACTTCTCTTGTTAAATCAACCAACATAACAGCTGTTTCATTGTTATTCATATCTCAAGGGATTTTGAGTCACACATAGAATCCTAATAATGACTTTAAGAAGCAAGACGGCGGAGCCGTTTTGATCTCGCCTACAAATTCAGTCCTACGATGCTTTGCAGCCTGAGGTCGTTACCAGTCCTCTTTGAATTCTTGGAAAATCGCAAACCCAGTTAACTTACAGAGCAGGATGCGTGTCGATAAAAGGAGCCAGCGGTTTGTCAACGAATGTTCCAAGACCAAGTCGAAACCTTGAGGTTATCTTGGACATCTCCCTTGCTGTAGTAAAAAAAAAAAAAAAAAAAAGAAAAGAAAAGAAAAGAAAATGAACGTAAGTTAGATTAGATTTTCTGGATGAATTCAAGTCGATTCCAAATTATTAGTTCTTGTAACCATTGCACACCACTTCTCTTATGTTTCCTTAGATATAAACACAGTTTCACAGGAAGGAATGCGCTTCCAAATCTAAATTGATTGGACATAATATTTTTTCATTTAAGACCCCGTGTCATTCCCTTAAGTATCATTTCTTTGCTTAAAGGTTGTGCTTGAGAAGAGACATACGTGAATAGGGTCGACACAACTCAAAGAAAGAAGCATTTTCTTGAGAATGACACGTGGTCTATATTATAGAAAAATATGCAACATTTCTGACTTATGCAGCATCTTCTTTATTCGACGGAATACGCGCTCAGTTTAAAAGACCATTGGATTGCATGTCGGCTGCTTACCTATTTTAGAGCCCAACGTTGTAATTCTTTTCATGTCTTGTAGCATTGACCCAGATATATCCATCAAGTAGTACAAATCAACAGGAAAGTTTTTTGGGGTTCGCATGCTCACATTGAACTTGGCAGGCTGGCCTTAAAAAATAGTTCGAGAATAATAAATATTGAACCCTGGCAGTGACCACTCTCAGTGCCTACACTTCATAATAACCATCTCCCATGCTTGTAAATTACATAACTCAATGTAAAGCGCCTACTTTGATTTTTTAACAATTATTCGCCGAAGGAGAAGTGAATATCAGGGAGTAATAACCGAAACGAAGTTGAGATTATTATTATTCACTGAGCCTGAGGTGAATAATTTTTTTAGTATAAATACACAGGTGATTCTTTCAAAAAAAGTAAAAAAAGAAAGAAGATAAAAGACACATTTTTTCCGGTAACAGCAACAAGGCGGCTGGCCGCCATTTTGGATTATCGCTGGAGATGATTATCGTGTGATAGTGTGAGTTTTTTGATCAATCAGCTCGTGAGATTTTCAATAATCACCTGTGTATATATACTAAATGGCTATATAGAAAGGGCGCTATATAAATCATAAATCATTCATCATTCATAAAGACATTAGCTGATAATCATGAAAGACTATCTACGCGTGCGTCGGTTATCCCTATGCTTGGGTAAATAGAGAAAACCAAACTTAATGGTGTTGCACTGTTCTTATGGCTTACCTTTTCTAAGTCGTAATGTAAGGTTTTGAGGAGTAAAGTTAGTAATGCTGTCAAATTTCTTATCCTGAAGAATACGACCAGAAGCAAATGGTTAAGAGCGACAAGACTTAGTTTAGTTTTTATAATTCATCGCTATGAGGAGATTTAATTACAAGATTGCACAACGCAAACAATAGAGAACAATGGGTGTGACAGGGGAAGATAACAGGTTCGACCACTAGAAGACTATCATGATCTATATACATTCCTGTTCAAATTTTGCGTTCTCGATTCGGGAAATCAAGGTTGGCGTAGTCGTAGTGTACTCTCCTCTTAATTCTGGGGTCTCGGGTTAGTTTCTGCACTTCAGCACATGTGAGTGGAGTTTGCTAGATCGGCCCTTGATTCGAGGGCTTTTCTCCGGGTTTTCTCCCTCCCTAAAACCTAACACTCAAAATTCCAATTCGATTTGACCATTCCTGACCTAGCACAACTAGCACAATAAAGTACGTACAAGCACAGCAATGAGAGAGTCAGTGTTGTAAATTACCTCGTTAGCAGTGAAGCCAGATTTGGGATTTTTAATATTTTTACATTTGTGCATTTGATGATTTTCTAAAGTATCACAGCGTCGAGCTGGCTGTTCCTTATGGAAATATTTCTGTGAATAAAATACAAAATTATCTTATTAGTGGATCATATTTTCAATAATACGCATGTCTATTAGCAGTTTGAGCAGATCCCACATGGTTAGCCTGCAGCCCCGGTCCTTGTTGGTTCTGATCGTGGACGGCACCAAAGGTTTTGTCGTTTTGACGCCTAGTATAGTATAGTCTGGATGGTTTGAGTAGGGTGTTCGGCTTTTTTATTAGGCAATCAATAAACAGACCCCTTGCGTGTGACGTCAAAGTACTCCTCAAAGGAGTACGAAACAAAAGAATTTCAATCTTATGAGAATTGCAAACCCATTGATATGGCTCCAAACTGAGTTGCATTGTGGCTTACCTTGTCAATCTATAATTATGGTTATAATTATACGCATGCCCATTTATCTTAGTACAACTCTTACAATACAGAGAAGATTTGGCATGAGTGGGAAACGAATTAGTCGTGCCGTATCTTACCCTAACTACGCGTTATGATTAGATGAATCGTCGGAAGACAATGGGAAGCCACTTCAATGTTATAGTTTGTTGTACTATGTATACGTGCTGTAAGCCAGTACCTTATGATTCCCACTCATCCCAAAACCCCTCCGCGACATGTCGTACACCGTATATGTGCCGTAAGTAAGTACAGTACGGCTGCCCATTCATACGAAAACATCTTCATTAATACAAGTGCAGCTTTACTGCGGTTTTCCATATTCACTCAGAATTACATGTCAACGGCTTGTTGTGACATTGGTTTTTCACTGCCGCAAGTCAAGGACATAAGAGGTACCGACTGAATATTTTTGATTGACGGCAGCGAAAAACCAAATTTCAGCGTGCAGCTTGAGAATATCGACTTCGCAGAATATCGAAAACCGCAGTAACTGAATATCTTACCAAATCTTCGCACCAAACACATTCTGATGATTCTCTTATGCACTCGCCGCATGTTTCAGAAACTACACATTCCGCTGCTAAACCTAAAAAATTAAACAGAATGAAAAATGTAGTTATATTCCCGACTTGGTAACCATGCGAGAAACACGAGCCAAAGCTAGAAAACCGTTGATTGGCCGACTTATAGGTTGCGCAGAATAGTTTTCTGCTAAATTTATAGCAGGCACACGAAATGGAGAACAAAGAAGGAAATTTCTACTGCATGAGGGTTAATATTTTCGAAATTTAAATCAGTTTTTCTCAGCATGACCGTGTTGGTCCGTGCATAACTTTATTCTTATAGTTTTTACAGTCAGGAAATTGCCCCACTATAAACGGATTCATAGGTGAAGGGTAGCAAGAGGTGAACTCAACGGGAAGTCCAAAACAAACCTTTCTCAACGAAGAACATGAGCAGCAAGGCAACCAAGAGTGTCATGGCCATTCCCTCTGCCGAAGAACTGTAAGTAACGAAAAGAGAAAGAAAGAGTTCAGTGTGGAGATTTGGCACTATCACGTGATGGTAGCCATGACATGAGGCACAACGAGAGAGTATTTTCTCCCTGGGAAACTGAATTGTTTCTCTTGTAAACCAGATCAGATTCAATTGTTGCTGCCTCCTGTCATGGCTGCCATCATGATGGTGCAAAGCCTATATGTGATACATGATGATTACACTAGTCAAACATGATTAACTAGACACTCAAATGAGATTGCGTGCACACACGATATTGACGCGTGACATGGTAATCTAATTTTTTTGGCTTCCATGGTGACGTGAGCTAACTGTTTAAAACTCGAAAACAGAACTTCTTAATTAAAACATAGTTAATAGAGTCTATTAAATATAACTAACATCAAAACAAACAACTTAAATCATAACTAAGCACTGAATAAACAAACAAGCAAAAAAAATAATAGGTAGCCAAAACAAATCATATTACGACGCGATGCTAGCCAAACAAGCGAACGAGGTAGCCAACGAGCAAACGAACTAGCGCCTGGAACGAATTTAGATATCTAGATTCCGTAGCGTTTCTATGGATTCAAGTGACGCCGTCGACGTACAAATGCGATTACGTCTAAGTGCAGCCACTTTAGCTGTCCTTCAAAGATTTAAAATTTCTAGCCTGCTATTAAACCAAGGATTATGTTCTTTGGTTGCAATAAAGATTAATGAGCATCTAAACTACTGCAAACTAACAAGCAAAAAGAAGGTTTGTTTAGCCATTTGCGAAACGTTAAACTCCATTTCATTTTAAATTGTATACGTCTGCGTTGGTCTCGCTATACTAAACCTTTGAACCTAAAATAAATTGATGTTATTTCTTATATATCATATTTAAGCTTTTGTTTCGCTCAGTGAGATCTACCAAGAAAGAACTTTTCTRTGGTAGCAACATTGTAAATTAGCTCCACAACCATTCAGTTGTATATAAACAACACTTTTTAGACCATAATATTGCTTTTCAGAAATGCCCGCAGCATATTTGAGTACGGCGTACAGCACTTTATTTTACTGGTAAATGGCACTAAAATGTGGTCACTATGCATTTGAACATACTAAAATACGGAAAAACACCAGATGCTAGCACTAAAATGGCACAAAGGCATCGAAACGATTGTGGCATACAAAAGAAATCCGAAGTCCTTCTGGGATTTTCGGATAAAAATAAAAACGCGGTTGGTCCTGCAACAGTTGGAACTAGACTGCAGCGGTCACATGTTTACAATTTTTCTTGGAATTGCGTCGAATTTCATGAGTATCAAGTTAACATTCCTTACCTTCAATCTTGGAAGTTCTCAAATTAAAATGCAATGTTTCAGTTGTAATAGAGATTAATATTAGAAGCTTCTTTCAGTGTCTCCGTTGCATATTAACAAAACAGCTCGAGCTTGCTCTGATGTTCGTCCGTTTCAGACATGTTAGATCAAACTACTTAATTCCTGTCTGTACTAGAATGTTGGCCCCGTAAAAAAAGTTTTCAAAAGGTCAACGATTGTAAAATACGGTGTACAGTTTCACTAACATCTCCGGAAGGCACTTTGAAGATTAACCCACGGATACATAGACAGTTTGATCAATTATAACCAACATTAAAGCTTGCATTCCGATTTTGGCTTCCTTATCTTACCATTAATCTAATTGAAATGGCATCGGAAGAGGCATAAAACTAACTTCATTACTGCATAGTTGAAATCATGATCACTTTTACGAACCCAATGATATTTGCTTGAAGATGACGATAAAACGAAAAAAATAAGGATACCGTAAGAATGCAAATTGAACGAATTTGTTCGAACAAAATTGTTAATTGTAACACCTTTTTGGCGCGTACCCTGATCATACGCTCCATGCAAGCTATTGATTTTAGTTAGACAGATATTCYGTTGCATTTTCTGGTGCATGTTTTCGCGCGCAATCTCATAACACACTTTCCAGACGACCTCATTATTGTCGCTATTGAATTTACCAACAACCTGACCTCGCCCTTATCTTGATACAGCCCACTCAATTAAATTGAAAAAACTCGGTAAAACTAATGATCAAGTTACAAGTTCTAAGTGTTATGTTCAGAAATGCAACGGTGTTCTCGAACGGCAGCGCGCTATAACCGAAAAGATAGCTCTAGCCCTTTTTATATTTTTGCCTACCAGACACTGAAGGAAAAGATGGGACTGCTTGTCAGTTTAGTCTCAATTTTCTGTTATTTCAAAGTTCGTTTGGTTGCCATTGGGACAGATTTAGAATTTATTAATGTGCGTTGTACATAAATGAATTATGGCTTGCCATACTACTACTGTTGCAGGCGACTGACACCTACAATCGATCAAGACGCCTTTGGGGCCATATATCAGTCAAATTTGGATCGGTTACTGGACAAAGTATCGATAATGTACCGTTTTTAACTGGCTACTAGACTTGTCATTGGGGTTCAACATAAGGAGAAAAGCTGCTGGTACATGCATATTTTCATTCATATACCCGATTTCTTTTTTTCAATTCCGCTTGACAAGAGCCAGAAAATGCTCGAATACCGAGGGATGAACCTCGATTACATGACCTGCGTTTTCTAGTCCTCTCGTGAAGCCAGATGTTGACGTCATGGTTTACTTTTGATTACGTTGATTGAGATTTTATTGTAGTTTAGTATTACCACTGTGTATCTCATATCACCCACAGAGTCCCCACACGGAGCTAGGCACGATGCTAAAGATTTGTACTGAACTTTAGACGGTTCTAGCCTGGCACCCTATGGAACCAGAGTTAATAGGTCTTAATAGATATTAACTCTGATGGAACGATCCATGAGAGAGGGGATTGGAGACGAAGAAAAATAAAAGAGACCAGACCTCCTCTTATTTTGAAATTTCCACAGGAACTCCATTCGCGGCAGTTAGGCAAGAATTACCTGCGGATGAGTCTAAGACGATCTCTAAGGTTGGTTAGAAACAACATCTCAAAGTCGTACAGACAGACAGACAAATAGACAGCTGAATGGACAGGTCTGAAACAACACGCAGCCAAGCTGGACGTACACTAAACATACAATTATAATCACGCAGGCAGGTAGGCAGACTGTCAGACGGAAAGACGACAAACAGAGGGACAGAAGGACAGATGACTGAAGTACTGACAGGAAGATAGACGAACGGAGGAAAAAAACAGAAATGCAGACACACAGACAGCTCGCTCCAACTCTTTCAGTTCCTGTTTCAGTTTGCCAGCATAAGAAAAATGGCCATGCAAACTTAGTACCGCAGTTATGCATTTTATATACGAATGGTACGAATAACCATCAAACATACAGAACCGTATACATCGATCCTCCGTAAAGTACAGATGTTTTCGTTGGTATTATACCGTCTGTAGGCCAGCGAAAACTTAGGTCAAACACGCGAGCGATCCGGAAACATTCCACATTAGGGACGCTAGGAMCAACAACTAAAGTTGATGAAAAGAAGCGTGACTTGACATGTTTTTATAGTCCACGTCTTAAGACCGAACAGAAATTTCAAGTGAAGATTCAAACCACATATTGCCTCCAGTTTGGACCTTAATTATTTCGTTTTAACATCCTTCAATTCTAATCCGATATTAGGGGATATTTTTGATGTGGTTAACCTCTCTCTAAGTTCGAATAACTTCGAAAAAAGTGGTTGTAAACTGAAAAACTCTTTAGATGCTGTAGAATTTATTGACCAGCTATGGACCAGATAAGTTTGTGTTTCATTGTAGTTTCAGCATTTTAATGCTGAAACATTTTAACACTGATTAGTTAATAATGTTCACTTTCGAAAGAATTGTAGAAACAAATGAGTTACTTCTACAATTTATGACACACACTTCGGTGTAAGATATCATGATTCGTCATAAATCGTGCACTTCCATGGGTTTCGAAGTGAGTATGCAGTATAAATCATTGCACATTCAATATTTATGATAGTTTGTTGTAAATACAAACATTCCAGTACTCACCAGGACCGTAAAACCTTGTATATTAGCTTCTCTTTTCTTCCGTGCAAGTTATCGGTGCTTGGACTACCTTGGTATCATGCAACAACGACTTTGAAAGTTGTCTACAAGTATCTTAACCTCTTGTTCCTTGGTTTACCGCTTATCCTTGAACCTGAACAATGAGCTTATGATTACAAAAACTTCATGGATGAATGATTTGTTTGTCCTTGCGTTGGTTTGAACTGCTTCTCTGATTTGCATTACATGCAATTAAACAAAGTAATCGTCAAAGGTCACTGATGCAAATACCAAAACCAAAGGAAGCCTGTTGTGAAATGTCATTTGTCAACTTATTAGAAAATGGTTTTCAAAAGAGCGTTCGCAAAGGAACGTAGCGAAAGGAACATTAAAGAAATCATCGAACTGAAAAACAAAAGCTGCCAAAAGTTGTGGTSTCAGCCATGCGTCGTGATGGCGGGAAAATGGCATCGTATAGCCGCTCCGGTTGTAATGCTGCCAATTCGCCTTAAAAGATTATAAACTGATTACATCTGTTTGTAAACAGGAATCAAAAAAATGAGAGAAAGACAAAGTATTCATAAACTGCGACCGTATGAATAATCTTCACAAATTAAAAAAACTACAACTACAACATTGCTGACAAATAGATAAATCATTTTCATCAAATAAATGCCCTTTCCAGTGAATATTTACTGCATTCACTGTACTATTTTCTACAAACTTAATAATGATAATAGCTTTATTTATCCTGCAGAAATTAGGCAGCGTACGTAAAAATTGTACGCTGGTATAAATTTATGTGCAGCAATAATAAAAAATATAATAAAAATATGTAAGATATATATCGATACAAAATATATCAGAAAAAAGATTATAAATAAGTATTAAATAAATAAACAGTTATTAAATATACAAGAAAAAAAAGTAATAATAAAAAATATAATAAAAATATGTAAGATATATATCGATACAAAATATATTAGAAAAAATATATAAATAAGTATATAATATATAAACAATTATTAAATATACAAGAAAGAAAGAAAAAGTATATATGTATATATGTATACAAACACATACACACATACACACATACATACAATACATACATATACATACAACAAACACATACACACACCCGATCGCAGAAATGCCGCAGTCCACATTCATACTGAAACATCCACAGATACAGATACAAGACATAAAATGAGATTTGAAATGCAGAATGTAAACACGCCAACGCTTTCATTTTATCTCCGCACTCCCCCGTTTTTCTCTCGTTGTACTACGAACTTATCAGAACTTTCATTTATCCCCGTACTCCCCCACCCCTACATGCATACTAGTGTCACCGTCCACACTTGAGCCAACAAACATATATGCAGCGGTTATTTAAATCGACTGTATAGCCAACAGAGCTGGGGCAGAGCTGAGGTTCAACTTCAACGATTAAAAATAGGAAATACTCAGATATCTATAGCTGTCATGAGACGAAACTACCGAACGATAATCAAGGTAGTCTTTGCCATATTGGGAGCGTTAGCTGGAATTTGTGCGTGTTTTTTATTCGCCAAGAAGTACCATAATGTGCACGCTGCTGTATGGGCTGGAGTATCTGCTGTTTTCGCCTTGTTCTTTCTACACATTGTCTTCTCTGTTCTCCGCGATATTCAGCGCAAGATCCCTCCAAGCCGTTTTATAATCTACAAGGTCGTTGGAGCTATTGGAACAATCATGGGGCTGTCAGTATTCATTGCTTATTTGGTGATAGGAGCCACTAAGAAAGAATCTGGTACTCATCCTTTCATTTAATATTAATATTATAACTGGAAGCTTATAACATTATTCTTATTTATACAAATAAATACGCCTAGGCAATATTAAATATATCTAATTCAGGACAAAGTCACTTCACTTTGGAGTACAGTAAAACTTTCCTAGGCATTGCTCATAACCTATTACATAACTAGTATAAAGTGCTTGCTGGCTGTTGACAATCGATATTTTTGATTCGGAGTTTGATTTGATCTTTGATCCAGAGCACGTCCGAATGATGTTTCATCAGTCTTATAAAATGTGTGGTTTTAACAAGAAAAACATTTGTTAAGTCTTATGGTTCATTCCTTTGGTCGTGAAATAATGAATTTTATTTATATAAATATTTTTAAATGCTATCCTGAGGCTTGGTCATATGTCATGTGATGGAAGGATGGCTTCCCAATTACGTAATACCCCATGTGTGGCGGATGAGGTGGTTCCAAAACAAAAATAGTTATTCTTAAAATAGAAATAATAAGAAATAATTGCCACTATGTTTATAAACAAATGCCATTGTGATGTTCATGTGCTAACCATAATTTCACAATAGGCTTTGTTTCACTGCTTTGTTAGATTATCAATATATTTCTGGTTAGCAATATATATTATAACCAACCATTGTAAGCACACCTATGGAGTGTTTTCACGAGACGTAACAGCAGCTATGTTGGTGTACCAAAACAATACATTTCCTATCCTCTGGGGATTCAACTCTTTTTTTTTAATGCAGAAACTGTGCAGAAAGTTTCTATTGTTTGGTACACTAATTTGGCTGCCTTCTCATATGTAAGAAAATGCTCTATCTCTATCTGTTCATAACAATACTGGTAGAAATATAAGTAAATCACAGGTAAATCACAAAGCCTCTAAAAATAGACCAAATTTGTCGTGGTGCATTGTTTTAACCACAGTTTTTTCCGACCACATGTCATTTTCAAGAGCATCATTTCTTTGTTTATTTGTGCATGAGGAAACGCAAGATTATGAATACAAGTCAAACAAAGAAGCTTATTCTCTAGGGAATGACTTGTGGTCTGGTATGACATAAACATTGCACCAAGAGGAATTAGGTCACAAGGAAAAGTCGTAGAAGATTTTTTAGTTTTGCAAGGAGCCATGAGAAAGAAGTTGATATGCACTCTATAGAAATGCACTGTTATTATTATTAGGTCTATTCTCACATGTCTTAACTCTGTATTTTTCTTTTTTTTTTTTCATTTTAGTGGACCCTTATGGAAGCTATGTTGTTGTAGTCTGGGGTTTCATGACTTTCAAGTGGTCACTATTCTCTATGTTGTCTGCAAGGTCCTACTACAAGAAATATACATTGGCAGATGAAAATCAAGTCATTGTCAACAGTTAGTTGAGACTTTAATTGTGGCCTTGCATTCAAGAAAAGTAAGTACTAGTACTAGTATTGAATGGTCCCATCGAGGTCGGAAATTAATTTTTCCGAATTTAATTCCAAGGGCTTTCGCCCGGAATAACCTCGTTCCCTAGCACTACAACTTACCTATATTATCCTCTACTATTTCATTAGTGCGACGCGGTCCACATACTCTCATCTATTGAATGGTACGATTAGTTCAGAGTAAAGTTTTCAAGGACTCTGACTGGTCTTGACTCTGCCAAGGGCTCAGATACAGCATAGGCATTAAAGAATGATATTATGCACCAAGAAAACATGTGTCTGATTATTATCATTAATCAAATACATATAATTAAARTTTAAAAGCCCACTTAAAGAAACAGGTTGATCATGATCGGTGGCAGTGGAAGGAAATAAAAAAGGTGGGAGGGGAGGGTGGGTGAAAGCGAACAAACAACCAATATACAATATTTTGAAACTATCCTAAAAAATTTGTAAGCAACCCACAAATTAAGAAAGGGGGGCACCCTAGCCCCACCTTACTTCCCTCCATATATGCTGCCTATGATGATCATCAAAATTAAATCATGCACTAAAAACACAGCAAAATGCTCAAAGAAGTAACATTTGTGAAAATGAGATTATTTGTGCTATCGTTAAATTTATTGTTAATGCAATGCATATTGCTTAGGTGTATATAGATCAATGCTGTTACACATTCTTCCAGACCTGGTCAAAAACATGCATAGTAACAAAAAATAAAATATAATTTTTTCAAGGATACCTTATTTTTATATTAGGTAAAATACTCAATTTGCTAGATTGCATAACCATCACCTTTGATAATCCATACTTTCCATGGGACACATAAGTGGCCTCACTTGTCCTCTAAGTCTGTGGTCTTGTGGCAAAGCGCTTTCTCCCTCTGATAAAGCTAATATGATTACAGAATTATTGAATTAATTAATGAATACATAATAATTAATTAATTCATACTTACCATTGGACACGTAAGTGCCTATGCTTGTCCTCTAGGTCTGGGGTCATTAAGCAAAATTTCCCTTCCCATATATAAAACTAATATGATTACAGAAACCTCAATAAATATCGGAATACAGTGAAAGATACGCTATATTCCTCTTGATGAGAGTAATGTTGTAGACCATATATTTGAATGGTTTCTCAGACACCGAAAATACGAAACTGAGTGTTATCGATTTACGAGTCAAAGAACAGTTCAAAGACTCTTCAATTACTTTTGTCATTTATACTGATTTTTATGATATGTTAGGTTGTAAATACGAAAAAAATCAAGATGAATTAGTTAAATACGTTTTATTCAACGAACTGCAATGTTTACATCATATTTTAATACGTCACTAAGTGCCGTTATCTGCAGTGCCTAGCACTTTACTTCCGCTATCTATTCACTCTAAAAAACTACTTTTACGTCCCTTTATCCCCAAACAAAAAACCCTGACTACATTCCCTCGTCTCTTTCCCCGTCGTAATTCATAAAATTATCAAACAACTGCTCAACTTCAAGTTCCCTTCGAATTTCCTGAGGAGCTCTTGTCTCCATTTGTGGCTGTTCTTGCATTATGATTGGTTCGTACGAACACTGCTCACATGAACATGCAGTAATAACGGCCAGCTGTCGTTCTAGGAAGTCGTTCTCGCCACACGACAAAAGGATTTTGATTGGTCGAAGCTGTGTTGGTTTGCAGCAGAGACAATTTGATTGGTAGTACGGAGGGATCATCATTGCTGTTGTGTTTGAAGAACAGTGGCCAAGACACGAGCCTACGTCTATGGGAACTTTACTCGCACATCCCTTGAACGTTATGTTCTTGTAAGCAGGAACTGTTGCGCATTGCGAAGGAGGCAAAGCTAGAAGGAAAAAGAAAGAAAGAAATAGGAATCATACGATTAAGATTTTTTAAAAATGCGAAGTTTCAAACTTTTCCAAACGTTTTCCTTTTTAAAAGGAAATGTTAACCAGTCAATGCTAACCAGTTTACGTTCGAAAAAAAATTTTCTTATTAACATACTTGGGGGTCGCGTTGAAGGTATCTCGGTAGTGGTGGGTCGCTGGGTCGTGGTCGGCAAATGGGTAGAGGTGGGTTGTTGGGTCGTAGTGGGTCTCTGAGTCGTTGTGGGTCTCTGAGTCGTTGTAGGTCTCTGGGTCGTCGGTCTCTGGGTCGTTGGTTTCTGCGTAGTGGGTCTATGGGTCGTAGTGGGTCTCTGGGTCGTTGTGGGTCTCTGGGTCGTAGTGGGTCTCTGGGTCGTAGTGGGTCTCTGGGTCGTAGTGG